CACTGAACCAAAAGAGGACCTTAACAGCTCATAGATTGCAAGTAAATTTTGTACAGATCTGAAAATAATTAAGCGTCGAGGACTGTGTTAATTCAGTTGGCAGATAGATTAACTTATTAACCACATTACTTTGCCTTAGCATTGTACTTGTACAACTTGGCAGAGACTGAGCAGTTAACCCTCAGCAATTTGAAGTTTATTATGTTTCTCTATTTTTAAGTGATATTTTTGTGATGAAGATTGTTTAATAATGCTGCCTCAGAGTGCAGGAAATTGCATCTAGAAGAGGTGTAATTTTCAACAACAAAATTCGTGGAGGGCCCCCTGCTCCCGCCTAATCAAGGACCCCTTCCCGAACCCACCCCATAGTCTATTTTTTCACTATTGTCTGACAAGCATTTTTGTTTTAAAATTTGGGCGAGTTATCTTATTGACTCACTCGCCCAGTTTGGCAAGAGGTTTTTTTTTTTAAAGCTCTAACACTGTTGTAGGTAAATAATTTATTTACAACCATTTTATTACCATGTAAAATCTCTTTCTTATGCTTGCACGCCGCATTACTTTTAGAGAACAATTTGAAATTCTGGAGGATCATCTAAAATTTAGGAGGACCATCTAAATTTCAAACTACAAGACCATCTCTTTTTTCTCCTTATTTCTACCTCTGAATTAGCAATCGGGGGAGGGGGGATTAAGTGCCTGATCGCCCGACACACCTGAAAATTTTTGCTGAGAACCCTGAGCATGGCCATCTCGTGCGCTAGTAGTAGTAGTAGCAGCAGCAGCAGCGTCACCAGCCATATAGTACTATAGTAATAGCGGAAAGCTCTCGTAACAAAAACACTGAAAATCACTATTGTTAGAGTCATGACATCCAAGACTCTGCACGTGCATTGTCACACGGTCAGAGTCTTCCTCCATCTCGTACTTGACGTGTTTGCGATTCCTCCTCCAGGATTACGAGGCTGAGGCCGACTCAAAGCTCTTTGTCGGCAAGCTCAGCCGGAATACCAACGAAAAGAGCATGGAGGACTATTTTCAGCAATGGGGCAAGGTCGTCGCCTGCAATATCCAGCGCCGTGCATTTACGAATGAGTCGCGCTGCTGCGGTTTTGTAACATACAGTGAGACGTCGCAGCTGGACGACTGCATGAAGAACCGGCCGCACATCATTGACGGGAAAGAGGTCAAAACCGTGCGCGTCTCACGGCGAGGCGAGGAGGTACGTGAAATTCACGATGACTCGTGCGCGTGAGAGACTGCAAGCCTCGGTCTAGCGTTGCTCCACTCACCTCGTAGTGCGCAGCGTGTATGTAGGCATGATCAATCATTGCCAAACGTGTGTCACTAAGTTTTATAAAAGATAATAAAGTATTATTATAAGTATTATAGTATAATTTATTAAACAAGCATCAAAGCAATGATATGTCATTTGTATATTGGGGGCGCAGATGACAGTGAAGAAGATCATTGTTGGAGGAAAAATAACACGGAAAAATCCCATCTGAAGGAATACTTCATGGAGTACGCCAACGTCACCTCCGTCGACTTCATCATGGTGAAGAGACTGAATCGCAAGCGCTTCGCCTTCGTCTCCTTCGACGATTACGACCCCGTCGACAAAATCGTCCGTGAGTACTCTCTAAATGCTGCGTGCTCTCATGTACTCTCTGAGCGCATGAATTCGTTAACGTAGCCAGATTCTGTACTGGCTGGTATCTTTTTGGATGGACGCTTGGGAAGCAGCTGTAACGGGCACCAGTACCCGCATAGCGAATGCTGATTCTTATCGCTCTCACACTGTTTCAGTGAAACGGCATCATATAATCAACGGAAATACCTTGGATGTGGATAAAGCCGTGGATAGAGGATGCAGGGCCAGTGGCTCAACCTCCCTTCCCAACACAGACACATCCGTACGTATGTCCGTACGTACATAAGTACTTACATCACACATACGTACATATATACATACACGCATAGGTACGTATGCATGCATGCACGCACGCACGCATGCACACACATACAGAGCATGCAGTCACACACGCATACGTAAATGCACGCACGTATCTACGTAAACATGTAGGCACACGTGCGTATGCACGCACGCGCGCACAGACGCACACACTATCTATATATACATCATATCAGGAGTGTATCAAAAAGTGATACACTCCTTTTGATACACTCCTGATCATATATATTGGTGAGCTTTCATGTACCAGCCCGTGTCGATGCTCCCACCTTTACTTACTGCATGGCCTCACTGGCGTGTGACTGAGAACAGCAGGAGGGGGAACGCATAATTGAACAGGTTTCAGCCTGCTGACCGTGAAGGTTGACCAGTGGGCCATAATTCTTAAGTGGCTCAGCCTACCCATAAAACGGCACTGAGTGACCAATGCCTACCGAGATAGACGGTCTCATGGTACACAGCATCAGATTCGTGTCGGTCAAATGGACCTTCTGGCAGAATGTCTTCCCTCTCTGTCATCTCTCTCTCTCTCACTATATCTCTTGCTATATTTACGATCCGAAGTGGGATTTACGGACACTTGACGCTGATGCTATGGATGTGGTTTCACTGTGTAACTGCAACTCAAATGTCAAATGTAGCTTGCAGGTGGCATCCTAGGCAGGTGGCGTTCCAGCAGGCTGACTGCTATGCACGCGGGGGCTGCTCTATGCAGTGCTGTTACTAGCGCGGCTGTGTGACGTATCTCGCTATCTTCGTTGCAGCTGAGCGTCATCACGGACGCCGTCTCTCACCTGTCCATGGATCTCGAGCGACTGTTAGGACAACAGAGCTTCAGTGACGTGACGCTCTACGTCGGTGGTCGTGAGGTCCAGGCTCACAAAGCCATCCTGTCAGTAGAGACGCAGTCCGCCCGAGCTGAGCGGCTGCGAGGGATCCTAGAAGGTCAGTTGGCTTTCTAATATTAGTCTGTGTTAGAAGCGCAGACAACAGGACGCCCCTTGGACTAGTTGCCCTAATTGAAACGCTGTGTTAGACGAGGAAACCTCTGAAATAGTTGGTAGCCGGTTCGTTAACAGACGACCACGGAACGACTGCGTTAAAATTGACCCTTAGAGTGACCAATGCGGCATAGGAATGCGGCCCGCCCATGCTGATGCAGAGTGCTCTGTGTTTGCTTGCAGTATCACTAAGAGAGGTTGAAGATCATCGTGTGAAGAAGCTCTCTGCTCAAAACCTGAACATAAGACAAGTCGAGGCTGACGTCCTCATCCTCTCGGCAATCAACAAAGGCTGGTCCAGCGAAAGCCAGTGTTAGCCTTTGACAAGACGTCGATGAGGTGACCACGCTATAATAGTACTGCAAACATTTTTCATTTCGATCTACCAACGTCAACAAACACTCCAATCATAAAAACATGTGTCCCATAGAACACCTTGGTGTCCTGTCCGGTAATGTAAGCG